GCCTGAGCGCGCGAAATCTATCATTGGTGAAATATACTCACTTATTATTTAAAAACTGTTACAGCCTCGACATTTTTGCATTAGAATTTTTGTCCTAAAATTTTCTATTTCAAGTTTTAGTACACCCTGTATATGCTACGGGGAAAAATGTGTCGGTCAACTATATTTTCCGTTCAAGTATAAACTGTGAACGTGCTCGACATGTAAATTGTATCGATGCGCGCCGGTTGTTTTGTCTGTCGATTAATTATAAGCTCTCGACAGTCGAATAAAAATTCCCCCCCGTTTACATTATCCATAACCGTATTGTTGCAAAATAACTCGCGCTTTCCGTGCGAGCGCGTGAAAAATGAGGCGCGCCGCGTGGGACTTTCGTTTCTTGCGTATCTGCAAATTTTAATTAACCTCGTTGCTCATCTCCACGTCACATCGGGGCGTGCAGGCGTTGCACGTGCCCGATTATACCCACTTACCGCGAGCACGGCCCACTACGTTCGTCTAATAATATGTGAAGTTATGCCGGGGCGCTTAAACGGCGGCTATGAAATAAACAAAATTCCCTGCGGAGGTTTTTAATTTTCGCTCGCGCTCTCGCTCTCGTTCGATTATTCTTCCTACAAATTCGCGCGATCCGCACCCACAGAAAATATTTCCGGATCCAATGCTATTGCCAAGGGGGTAACCACTTAATGTAATCATGGGACAGTGTCTCCGAAATCATTATGAAACCTTTACGAAATCTCCACGTAATCCTTTTGCCTTCCTTTCCAAGTTTTTTTTACTTGTTAGACAATGAACATTAAATTTGAACATTTTCCCCAAAAATTTACTTCTTTCAGTGAATATCCAAAGATATATCATAGTTCACGCCTATAGGCGCGTATGTTTTGTTTCATAATAAGACTGAAGTAGTTGCCGTTAGGACAGTGAGTTGATACACCGTTGCGCGCTTTAGAACAATAAACAGTAGACACAAATACGAAATTACTTCTAGTCAAGACCACGGTTAGACTGGTGGGAAAAGTGGGAAGCGAGGAAACATTTCTACCTAACCGAATAGTACAATCCTAATTGAAATTACCTCTACAAGTAAATGCTTATTAGTAAAATCAAAAAGATATAATGTTTTGAGGAAATCTAACAGCTCTTAACAACGTCGCCTATTTTTAAACGGGCATATAAGAAACTTACTTGCAATCAGATGAAATCGTATGAAATCTAATGAAATCGTGTAATCGGTCGAACAACATTTTAGCTAGCGATTAGTTTCGAGAAAACGCGCATTCAAGTTCTTATAGCTAGGCCACCACGAAAAAATGTATTAATTCTGCATATTAAAGCGTTCTCTATTTCAATAATTTTGCATTGCCAGGTGGATATACGTGCGTAAGTTATTTTATGTTAATCTGGCGCTCTTACTGCTTTCTAGCCTTGTAGGACAACGGATATTTCTCTAAGAAACACAGACAGTGAGTTAACTACAATGGCCAAAAAATGGTGATACTGCTTTGCGCAAATGCGTCAAGAATACTTTTTGTCTCAATAACAGAAATCCTTTCTGAGGGTGCGTCATCGGGGAATGATGGGCGGCGCGGATTTTGCGCAACGTCCCGAGTGAAATCGCGAAATGTTAATCGAGACCGGAATTCGCAATTATAAAGTTTCCGCGGCGCGCGTTAATTTCACGGCCCTTCATCGCGCTGTACGAATGGAAAGTCGTGACTGACTGCGCGGTAGAACGTAAAAACGTCGTGTAACACATTCAAGCATGTATGCACGCGTACACTCGTAGCGCGACGATGTTATATCATCGCCCGCCGGTGTTATCAAACTACACGCGATACGTTTTACAATAGTCCCGAGTCTCGAGAATAAGAATAACGTATGCGTTGCGAATCGATCAACTGAGTCTAGAATTGTTGCACAGAAAAGGAGAATGTTCTTTTTTTTTGGAAATGGGTTTTGTTTCAACGTGAAAATAAGATTATGTTAAAACAAGAAAGACCTTACTTGACTGAAGCAACTTCGTGCAATTCAATCGAGAAAAATATATCCTTATTATTTAGGAATAATTTTCTGGAATGGAAAGGAAACGATATTGGATAGAAAATAACATATTTTCAAGTCGACGGTTATGACGATTACTTAAAATAATTTTGTTGTCAAAATAATTGTATTAAAAAAATGGCGCTTATACTTGGCGTCTTCTTTTTACGTTTTTTAAAAGTGGTGGTTTTTTAAGGTGATATAACCGGGGCCAATGTTCAGCCAATGCGCTGTGCTACTAGGGACACTTTATTTTCAATATTATTCGAAACATTGGAAGATACGACGTTTCGATATTAGAAAACGATTTAAAATTTACTCCCCCTCCCTCTCTCTCCTTCACTCACTCGTAGAAACGTGCAAGCCTGTTTCATTCCGGCCGCGAGAGGTATAAAAAAAAACCGCGCGTATTTTTAGCCCGGTGTGCACAATATCTACGTCGCGCGTGTGGTCAATACACGGGGGGGGGGGGGATAAATTTACATTCTAATCCCACCGGGGGTAGCGTATTAGCGGTAAAATCGACCGCGTGCGCGACGCTCACAAAGCGCGACGGGAGGGGAAAAGGAGGAAGAGAAACGACAAAGTGAAAAGTAAAAACGAAGGAAGCTGCCGTTGTTTGTCAAGAACTCTCGCGCGCGAGAGGTAAGCGCCTCTCTCTATGTTCGCGCTTATTATATACTTGGTTAGATAAAGGGCCCTCGACGAGGACTCGGCGAGCGATCCTCCCCTCCGTTGAATCGCGCGCGACTCAGCGCGCGCGCCTAGCAATCGTAAACACGCGCGTTTTAAGGGCCGCTCTCTCACCGGAAGACGCAGCCTTCCGGCGAACGATCCCGCGAAAAAGTCTTCCGCCGCGGTTCTCCCTTACGGATTATCGCTTCTGCGCGAGCCCTTGCGAAAAAGTAACGAAATAATTACTACGCTGGTAAGAAGAATATTTTGATCCAAAGAAATATTACTTTACTCGAGAAAATTATTCATTGGCTCCTAATAGCTTATTAACTTAAATTTACAAAGTGATAGGCAAATTGAAACATGCATTTCTTTAAGTATTTATTAAATATGAAGCAGTGGATAATTTTAAATTGGAAAAAGTTTACTTTAATTCCATAAAATGTTTGCTAAGGCGCAAGTTTCGCGGCGAAGAAAATTGAATCTCTTATTTGACAAAAGCAACAATTTCATTCAATAAATAATATATTCCACGTATTCCACGAAATCTTTCGTTGAATGTAGACAATGTAACGATTCAAATTAATTTACTCGACATAATACATAGATTTCCTTAAAATTTGATATTTGTGTTTAAATCGAATAAATATTCACTTGAGTAAAAACAATGGATTTAAACGGCCCTTCCTCCCCCCTCACGATTGCCGCCATTCTTCCCCACGTTTCTCACGTTCGATTCAAACGAGCGGCATCCTCGCGGATTCGCGGCGAGAACGGGACGGACGAGGGCCGGATACTCACTCGAGCAGGTGGACGAGACACAGGACGGCGCCGGGCAGCACGAGATCGTCGCTGCCGACCCTCCATCGTCTGCCGAACGCGACCAGGCTCGGCATCTCCCGTTGGCGTCCCCGCGGACGAGCCGTGGCGACATAACCTACGCACGCACGCACGGCACGCAGGGCGCGAGCGCCGGACGATTCAAAGGCGCCCACGTTGCCACGCGGCCGCTCCGGGCGACGCGCTCGACGGGGAAAGAGGATACGCGCGGCGCGGCGCGGCGCGACATCGCGGGGGAAAGAATCGGACGCGGCCGAGCGACCGAGCGGCGAGGAGCGGGTGCACGGACTGAAGAGGGAAGGTTGAACGTACCGAGCGGAGTCGAGTCCGCGGCGGATCGAACCAATCAGCTGACCGGCCGCGCTGAAACGTGGAAACGCGGAACGACGCGCCACATGCGATCGTACGGCGCGATTGCGGTCGCCCGCGAGGGAACGAAAATGACAAATTGAAATATCGGGGGAGCGACGCGTCGTCCGTTCCGCATGATCGCGCCATGTTAAGCCCATTAGCGTGTCCTTTATTTAAATTACTACTCTGTTTAGCCGTTTGCCCTGAAAATTAATAGTCGATAAATGATAATGGCGGTTCGGTTTGAAACTCGAGCCTGTTGAAAGGGTTGCTGGGGAAGAATGTTCGTATTTCAAACGTCTCTCGTCTCGGCCGACGTAGCCTTCATTTAAATTATCACGTTTTAAACGTTGCCTTTGAAATTAATAGTCGATAATGGCCGACCGATTTGAAATTCGAGCTTGGTAGAGGCCCGCGTTCCACGATGCTGAAACTTGGTTCCAACACTGAAAAAAATTTCTGGTTGAATATGGACGAATCAGATAATTCCTTTAGGATTTACCAGAATTCCTTTAGGATTTACCAGAATTCCTGTAATCCTACAGAAATTCTGGTAAATCCTAAAGGAATTCTGGTAAATCCTAAAGGAATTCTGGTAAATCCTAAAGGAATTATCTGATTCGTCCATATTCAACCAGAAATTTTTTTCAGTGCGGGCGCCTCGTCGAACCTGGGACCGGAGGATGCGAAAACGCGGAACGCGCGGAACCGCTCGGCGCAGCGCGCGATTCGGAAATCGGCAAACCGGAGAAGCCTTTATTAGCAATGAAATCCGAAAGTATTTTTGATCAACGCGATCGCGGCGTGGCGTCCAGCTGCTTGTTGCTGCACGATTTGAATCGAAGCTTCGAACGAGCGGTATTTCGGTCGCGATGCATCAAATGAAACGCGATTATACGCGATCGATGAAATGCAAATAAACGATCGCCTTTCCTTCCGATTGCGCCCATTTGCTCGTCGCGTTTCCTCGGAGAGGCAGAAATTTGCAAACGGCTCGAAACTGCGAGGAACGCGTGTTGTGAAAAGATCGAATCGGAAAAATGAAACAGACTCTCGCCGACCCTCGGGCAAATTTATCGACGTTACTTCGTGGGCGAGCGTGGCGCAGAGAAATGTGCGGCTGCTTAGTAAACAAGCGAACGAAAAGATACGAGTTTCAAATCCACGAACCCCGCTGCTCTTTTCGGAATCTCCCGTAGGGAAGTGGCAACCACCAGAGACCCTGTAATCAGTGACTAGCCACCAAGAGTTCGTCAAATTTCCTGCCAGCGAGAGAAAAACGTACCCCAAGGAGAAATGAAAATCAAGACAATGTCAATTTCATGTCATATTGACCAAATTTATGTCTTACTCTGGTCAATATGACATCAAATTGACGTCGTCCTGATTGTTCATTTCTCCTTGGGTAAGCTATCTCACTCGGAATCGTACAAAAGGCAGATATATGTTTCTCTCTCGCTCGCAGGAGTTTGACGAACTCTTAAGCCTCGTCTACATACAAGTCGTAAAGTCGTAGTCGTAAGAATAGTCGACTATGATTGATTAATTCTTACGTGCCTGACTGAATGGACCAATTACAGTCGATTATTCTTACGACTCTCATTGTAGACCCCGCATTATGGCCAGTCTCTGATTACAGGATCTACAATGTGGGTCGTAGTCGTAAGAATAATCGACTACAATTGGTCTGCGAATTGACCAGTCGCAGACTACGACTCTAGGACTCGCACTGTAGATCCCGCATTAAGCCTCGTCTACACAGAAGTCGTAAAAGTCGTAGTCGTAAGAATAGCCGGCTGCGATTGGTTAATTCTTATGTGTCTGACTGAATGGACCAATTACAGTCGATTATTCTTACGACTGCGACTCTGCGACTCGCATTGTAGACCCCGCATTAGGGGTGTAGTCATCCAGACGGGAGGTCTTTCCTTCGGCAAGGGTTAGCAGCCTACCGAAGACGAAGTAAAACCAAATGCTCAAAGTACCGGAACGAACTGGATAACACAGGCTTTTAAGCCTAATACACGAGGAAGAAGAAGAGGGAGATTTTGTAGGCGATGCTAAACGTCACGGGGCTGCGAGAAGCGATTCTCGATCATCGCTAATAATACACGGGAGAAGTGTTCTCGCGCGACCGACTTTTCTTGAAAAACAATGACCGGCTGCGCCGCGTAGAAAATATACGTGTAAAATAAAAATCGATTTCTCGAAAGCAACCCTGTCGCGTTGAATAACGATCGGGTCAGGAAAAATAGACCTCTTGCTCTCTGAAAGTCAATCAGTGGATTATCACTGAAAACGGTGAATATTCACAGATTCACGCTTCCCCGGCTGTGGAGCATCTGAAGATGATTTTAAGACGATCTTGAACATAAGATTTGACCGACCTTAGAGAGTAACTCCGGGCAAAAGGCGATGCATCTGCTATCTTTAATTTTCTTTCTAAGTGCCGAAAACTACGTTGGCTAGAACATCGATACCGTGCATCAGCTAACGAAGTAAATTTCGTATTCCTCCACTTGTTAAAGACCCGCGATTTGTTTGCATCGGTTTTATTGGTGAAGGTAAAATGAAACGTCGCGACGTTTATCAACGCGATTAGCTGCAATTTTATCTAACGGGAGCGACCTTTCCTATCTGCGCTACCAATCGCGACAGATCCGATCTGACACGCGGAAGATATCTGGTATCAGTGGTGACTCGCGAATGACGAAGGAAGACACAAGGAGATCTGTGTAACCCGTGCGTTTACACACAACGAACTCTGAAAATAACAAACCAATACCCCGTTCCAAGAATAATCAAGGCCGCGCTCGCACTCTTGAAAATGATCCCTCGTTTATATGCGGTGTGTCATTATTTTCGCTCGTTGCCGCAAGCGCAATCTCAAAGCCGTGCCAATGGGCGGAATTGCGATACACAATTAACGCGACTCGCGGACTCTCGCGAACGTTAGACCGTGGGCGCTAGCACGTGCCAAACAGCCCGCGTAAACGTTTGTTTTCGTGGACACGCATGCACGACAGACGATCAGGCACAAGAAGGTAGCCACCAGCTAAAATGTTGTCCGATTTATGATTTCATTACATTTCACACGATTTCATCTGATTACAAATAATTTCATCTAATTGCCAATAATTTTCTTATATGCACGTTTAAAAATAGGCGACGTTGTTAAGAGCTGTTAGATTTCCTCAAAACATTATATCGTTTTGATTTTACTAATAAGCATTTGCTTGTAGAGACAATTTCAATTGAGATTGTAGCATTCGGTTAGGTAGAAAACATGTTTCCTTGCTTCCCACTTTTCCCACTTTTCCCACCAGTCTTGATGAGAAGTAATTTTGCATTTGTATCTACTGTTTATTGTTCGAAATTTGCGCGCAAAGGTGTATAAACTCACTGTCCTAACAGCAACTATTTCAGTCATATTATGAAACAAATAATGCGCGCCTATAGGCGTGGACTATGATATATTATATATTTGGATATTCACTAAAAGAAGTAAATTTTGGGGGAAGATGAACAAGTTGAGAAATGTTCAGGTTTAATGTCCATTACGTAAAGAATTATTTAACGCCAGTAGTTGATTAACCAATGTAGAAAATTGCATGACGACCCATGGCTGGCAAATTCTAATTAAAGAAAATTCATTGCGACAAATAATAACCTCAGCCAGGGTTTGAACCTGGACCTCTCTACGCTCCAGGCGGGCGTCCCAACCAATTCGACCACCGAGGCACGTGGTAATATTTATCGCAATAAACAGTACTAGTACTGTTGCAACTTTCTACATCGGTTAGTGTTCATCAAGCAAAGAAACTTGAAAATGAAGAAAAATGATTACACGGGGATTTCTTAAGGAATTTACAATGATTTCGGAGGCACGAATACGTCAAGTGGTTAGGTTACCCCTTTGATCAGGCATTGAATTCAAGATACCTTCGTTACACGAGGTGAGAAATTCAAAATTCACAGGTGAATTCCTGCAGAAATGTCCCGCGCGCACTTTGCGCGCAAAGATTCTCTTCCGGTAAAAATGTTCTATTCCATTTAGATTTACGACTGTACAGAAAAGTAGTAGGCTTAAAGATTTGTTAAGTATCAATCTTTTCCGCTTGTAACGACTGACGAGTACAGTTGTCGTCGACTGAATTTCTGGGTAGACAGAAAGCTCTCTCGTCGAATTTCCGCGCAGTTTAAAATTTTTTAAAAACATTTAACTTAAGAATTTTTTAATTATTATGGAAGCATATTGCCTGCCGCGTTTTCCCTTTGCCGGAATTTTAATTTTAAATTCCACTTTCGTAAGTTTCATCCAGACATTTACCAGTCCGGGTAAATAGCTTCAGCTTCGTGGATCTAGTCGGATGCACGTTCATAGCGGTACGTAGATACCATGGTACATATTCGCGCAATCAATTAGCAGATCGCGGCGGAAATGAATTGACTGGAATCTGTGAGAGAGTTCCTAATTGGCGCGCGTAAAATCGAATATATAGGTCGAGTTCGAGAACCCTTCGGAGATGAAACATGCGGCGTCCATTAACGTCCGGGGTAACAAGACGAGTAACGTTCCGGCGAAATTGCATTTCTTTTTACAAAGTTGCAAGATAATTTGGCAAATAAAATTCAACGTTTTGCACGGTGCGTGCGTCAGAATCTGCGACGTTAGTCGACCAAATGTAAGCGGAGATAGCTCTTTCTTTCAGTAACGTTTCTAAGGAAATGCATCAAGTCCGTTCGCGTAAATTGCGAGTAAGTTTTACACCAACGTGATTTCAATTTTAAGAAAAAAAAACCTTTACTATTAAGAGGGAAAAATGTCTTGTGACACAAGTGTCTTCGAGACTTTCTCTAAAATCAGCTCTCTGTAAAATCGACATCTGTTGCTAAAACGTCTCAAGTTTTAATAGCGTATTAAATAGC